GTGTTTGGTGGGATTATACTGAACACAGCCACCTCTGAAGACACTGCATGTGTAATCTAGCGTGATTTACCACGAACATGCTGGCGGCCATGTGTCCTAGTAATTGTAGGCATGTCCGTGCCTCGATTCGTGGACAGATGGATATGGTGTCTATGAGATGTTTGATGGTTAAGAATCTGGCATGCAGTAGTGAGGCTGTGGCTTGAGTTGAGTCCAGGTGTGCCCCGATGAATTCTAGTTGTTGTGTGGGTATCAATGTGAACTTTTGAAAATTTATTTGCAACCCCATAGTTTTTGAAGAGGTTTATGGTCAGTCATGTGATTGTTTCTGTCTCTGTATGAGTATCCTTTGATAAGGCAATTGTCTATGTCAGGGAAAATTCTGATCCCTTATTTGCCCGGTGAACTGTGACTGCTGCAAGGGTTTTGGAGAACACTCTCCTAGTGCAGTGTAGAGTCCAAATGGGAGCACACTGTATTGATAGTGGTCGTGTCCCACTGAATTGCAGGAATCACCTGTGAGCTGTGAGGGTGAGTGTATTGAGTATCCCTGTTTCGTTGGTATGGTTGGTATCGCTTCCTTTTTGGGGGCAGTGTATATATGCCAAGTGTATGAAAAGTCACTTCTTCATGGTGTGTAGGACTTCATCAGTTTTTGACTACAACAGTTTGTTCTAATTGAAAGGTAGGTCCTCAACCTTTAGTTGGAGCTCTTTTGGTATGCTAGACAATAGCAGACACGAGGCTCTGCACATCACTATCACTATAGCCATGGTATGGGCTGCAGTATCAGCGATATCCAGGGAAGCCTGTAGGGCCGTCCGGGTGACAATTGTCCCTTGACCAGGATTGATTTGAATTGTGCTCTTCTGTCTTCTGGTATGTACACGGTAAACTCAAAGAGTTTCCCATAATTGTCAAAGTCATATTTAGCCAAGGAGGCACTCAAGTTGGCAATGCGGAATTGTAGCATCGAGGAGGTGTAGACCTTGTGACCTAAAAGGTCTAGACGCTTATGGTCTTGATCCTGTGACATAGAGTGGTGTTTGGCCCGGTGGTTTTCTGCTTCCACCACTAGAGAATTTGGTTCTGGGTGAGAAAACAGGAAGTCCATGCCCTTGATTGGGAAATAATATTCATGGTCCGCCCTTTTGCATGTTGAGGGGGCAGTGACCGGGGTCAGCCATACTGTCCAGCAGGTTTGAGGATGGGCAGGGTAATTTTTGACACAGAAGATGGGTGTAGAATTTTTAATGGTTTGCGTTGGTACTCTTGGACTTACTCTAGAGGGATGTCCTGGCTGACTGCTATGCACTTGAATAGCTCTTGAAATTGTTTAAAGTCATCAGCCATGGTAGGTGGAGGTGGCAGAATGGCTATATATGGAGAAGAGTTATGTTCATGTGACACTGCTTTGGGGGCAGTCTCTTCCTCTGGTTCATTGGCCATTTCCTTCATGGCTCCTGATGTTGCCGGCCCTGGGGATACAGGAGGGGACCGGAGCTGTGCCATAGGCAGTGAGGAGGTCCAAGCATATTGGCCTTTGTATGCTGCCCATGGTGGCCACTGCATCGTGAATGCCATTTCGGGACCCATCTATGGGGGTCCATACCATGGAAAGTGAGGTTGTGACTGATGGATTTTATGCCATGGTGTGACTCCAGTAGGTTTTAGTTGAGGTGTGGGCGAGCCCTGTGGTGAAAACACTTGCTCCTCTTCATCCTCATTGTCACTGTCACTAAACATTGATGGTCCATAGGCAAGATCGGTTGTGTGATAGGTGATCCCTCGTTGCAAAGGAGAGGTGATTCTGGCACCGATGCAACAGTGATGTCCTTCTGTATCAGGAATTGTTGCGGTGCCAGTGGGTGTGGTACCGATGTCTTAGTAGTAGGCATTGGGTGTCTAGGAGTCTTCTGTTTTGTCTTTGTTGGGGCCAGTGACCACACTGCGGTGCTGGCTGTCAGTACTGGGTGAGGGGGCAGTGCTGAGGAAGGTGGCTGCGCCAAGACCTGTGTCAGCACTGGTGGTTGTAAGGTCGGCGCAGTCTCCAACGCGGATGTCGGTATTGTCGGTGCCGAGGAAGAGACATGGCATGTTTGCAGTCTCAACTCCTTGTTCTTATGAGTGGTGCATCCAGTGCCGGAGGAGCCAGGGGAGTCACAGGTACTGACTCTCAGGGCCATCGTCACCACTTGTAATGACTTTGCGGGGGACCGTTTCTTTCTGTGAGGTTCCCGCTGTGGAGAGGTCGAGAGTTGCTTCCTCTTTTCCTGAGAGGGTGGAACAGTGCTCTTAGTCAGGTCAGACTGAGTTGGGGAGCACTTAGGGGAAGGCTTTGGGGTGTCCTTTTCAGATCCAGGTTGGAGTGATTTTTCCATTAGGATCATTTTGAGGCATAGATCCCAGTCACACCTGGCTCTTGCCTTCAAATTGTTGCAGTGGATGCACTTGGATGGTATGTGTGTCTCCCTGAGGCATCTCATGCAGAGGGAGTGCCCGTGGGAGCTCAGCATAACCTCCTTGCAAGAGCCGCATCTTTTGAAGCCACGGGAGCCTGGCATGTCTAAAGTAAAGTCCCGAGTGGATCGACATTTTTTTTTACATGGTTTGCGCTCCACAGGGAACCGTTAACCTGGAAATGAAGAAAACTAAGATTTTTTTTCTCAACTAACAAACTAACTTATCTATGGAAAAAATTAAACTGAGCTAACAATTATCTATTTTTTCTATCTCGAGGGGAAGAAGCTGTAGCACTGCCCCAAGCTCCATCTTCAGCCGAAGACGATTGAGATGGAAGTGAGGGGGTCAGTTGTGCACACGCTGAAGAGACTCCAACGGTGCTGCGAGACAGCTGCTGCGCATGCGTGGCCCGACCAGACCACAAATCTCCGATCGATGGCTCCAGGACACACTATCACTTGAAGTGGAGCACCCACAGGGACAGCACTCAGAGAAGAAGGAATTTTAGCCCAGGTCAGATTGGATGTTACCATAGGGTTCTTTTGCCTTCTTCTCCAGTCATTTGCCAGGATTATCTGGATATATCTCACTTATTTTCTCTTCTATTGTGGGATCCTTGGGCACTGGCACACCTCTGTCCCGCCTATTCTCTGTCTTTAGCACATAATAGTCTGGTCTCCCATGGGCTGTAATACTTGGGTCTCATTGCAATTGATAGGTTTAGTGTGAGGGTGGTGTTGATGGCCTGTGCTATACAGGAGGTCAGACTAGATGATCTAGTGGTCCCTTCTGCCCTTAAACACTATGACTCCATTAAAGATTGTGAGATAGAACAGAGACGGGGCTATAAAAGTACCTGGCATTTCTTAACTTTTGAGTGCTTGAGTTGAAACCTTAATGTTCTTTTAACATGGCTTTGTGTGTGTGTGTGTAATTTATATTTTTTTAATAGTACATAAAAATAGAAAGTCCATCATGTGGCATCTTATTGACACCCACATCAATCATGAACAGAGTTGGAACCTTTAGATCTGCTGCACAGACCTCCGCCATTTGAGTTAATGGAGTAACTGGTAGCAGCGGCAGGTTGTCATCTATATGAACCAGTGCTAGGTGGAGATGAGACAAACTCTTTCCCAATGTGCTTCACAGGTATTTGCTTATAAGATTATATTTTAGTCATAGGACTTACTTTAGGAATAGTGACCAGCCAGCCCCAGTTCCCCTCTCTCTGTTCCCTGTCTGATCTGGCTCCTCCTTGTGTCTCCTCCAACTCACACACACACACACACACACACTCTATCTCCCAGCCCCAATCTCTCTCCCTTTCATCACCCCTTAATCTGCTCCTATTCCCTTCTTCGTCCCATTTAGATCCCAAGTCCCAATCTCCCCCCATCCTAGTGTCCCCAAAAGAATTAACTTTTTCCTCATGAGCAATATTAAATTTAAGATTGAGCAGAACTCACTCTCTCTTGCTTACTCCAAATGCTCATTTGAGGACATTCATTCTTTGCTCTGGACTTTTTTAATAGGCATCAGGTCAGGAAATAAAACGAGGAACTTGTTACCTTTGTAAGGGTATGACACAACATGCAGCCCCGGCAATCTTCAGGATTCTCTTTTTGTCAAACAGACAGCAAACCTAATAATTCCTATTGTTGTGGATTGAGTTACACCTCATTGAAACTGGGGGGTAAAACAACCACCTTTCATTCCAGATCATTGTGAAAAACAATTAAGCTCCTTCATGGAACCAGATCGCTGAAACAATAGGAGCACCACCCAAAACACAGGCAACATGGCAGGGCCTGAGTAGAAGATGAACCACATGGCCCAAGGTGTTTCTCTGGGGACTGATAAAGTAAATGCAGGGGCTAGCGCATTTATTGGGGGAGCTGTATGTCTCTGAGTGTGAAAAAGGAACATCACAAAGAAGGAAGGAGCAGAAAGCCAAGGAGATAGCCAGAGTAAGCACTGGGGGAGGGAGCAGTCTTGAGGGAAAGCCTAGATAGTGCTTTTTGGGTACAATGGAAGCTGGAAGAAGCTTGGAACTTAGAGCAAAGAAACTTTCTTTTGTTTGATCCTACTGGATGCAGGGAAATAGGACTCTCTCTCTCTTTCTGTATATACACATACACTTTATATTATAAATATATACACACACAGAGAGAGAAATAGAGAGAGAATAAATAGGATTCCATCAAAGAAATGTGTCCATCATCAACGTCTTGTCCTAATGGAAACAACTCACTAAGCATTCATGGCCCACCATACAATTTCTATTCTCCGATGTGGCCCTCGGGCCAAAAAGTTTGCGCACCCCTGGTTTAGAGAATGTCAAATTATTCCAGTAATTTAAAAGCAGCAAGTTGTCTTTCCTATGCTTAGGCATATAAACAGATATATGTTTTAATGATTAAACCAGTTGGTTTTTTTTTTAACTACTGAACTTCACTCAGACTAAAGGTAGATGTAATACTTGGTAACTATTATAATTAGAAAAGGATAATTTGTATATAAATACACAAGCTTACCTATGCAGTCAAGTTTGGGTGTCCATTCCCCATATTTACAAGTTGATTGTATAAAGTTTGTGCCATCTGTTTTACATTTGTAACTTATAGGTGCTTTGTGCTTATAGATCCTTTTCTTGATGGGAGTTTGTAAAATGGCTATATTCTCAAAATTCTCTGGAAGTCCACATGTAGCAGATTGATCTAAATAAAATCCAACACAAAAATTAAAATATGCTATAAATCATAGGATGTGTCCAGTAAATATCCATTTAAAGGCAGACATTCAATATGCAAATACATGTCCATGTGAGAATGTTGTGTCTACTATTGTTATAAGTAATCTCTAAAGTTACCAGAAGAGAAAGAGATCAAAGAAAAAAAATCAAAAATGTTTTTAGTTTGTGTACATTGTAAAGTTTTCAAAGATGCTGAGCTGCCTTTACACTGAAAGGTGGGGTCAAGAAAACCCTGTTGAAAGCCACTGATGCTTTTATGCACATGCTTAACTTTGCACACACTATGCATATACTAGAGTATGTAAAGAATGGTGCTAAATATCTATATAAACTGTATCTGCCTGAATATTGATGAATAATCTCTATTCAACCTTAAATGAAGTTGTTACTTTAATGCTTAAAATATTATCTAAATAGTTTACCAGCACACGAAGGCAAAGATATCCATTTTCCGCTAAGACACTTCACTGTCTTTGGCCCAACCATTACATAGTTTTTTTCACATTCATAATCCACTGTTTCTCCATGACCGTACTGGTGATTGTCTATATTGACAGCTTTCCCTTTGGCAATAGGGGGTGGTAGTCCACAGGTTTTTTCCTCTTCTGTGGAAAAGAGCATAAATATTCCACATTATATTCTTGGCACATATAAAACACATGATCAAAGAGCCTTACTTAAAATAATTATTTAGGGCCTGACCTTGCTCTCATTAAAGTTAGAAGTGAAACTCTGATTGACTTAAATGGGTGCAGAACTAGGCCCTTAATTTGTAATAACATTTGCCATTCTTCCAAACTCCTCTCCCTCACTTCTCTATGACTAGGACAACTCCTCAATCCAGTTATCTTCCAGGACTGTATTCAGCTTTTCTCTCCTCACAGTTTTGTAAGGATTGTCCCTTATTTCTCTCTATTTCCACATAGAAAATATCATTAACTTAGCAATGCTCAATTTATATTCCCTCACAAGAATGAAAACACTAAAATGCAAGGAAATCTTAAATCAAATCAGTACTCACATTCAACACAATACCACGCTCCAAATTGCTAGTAGTTCACTACTATCATGACACTAAACTACACCCCCCCCAATACTCACTTTATATTTAAAGAAAATAAAATCCTGCCACCTTCAGTGCACACATCCAAGAAATGAAAATCACACAGCTGCCATGTTGACAACTGCAAGCTCCCTGACCCCCACATTCTGCACTTTCCCCTTTCTAATTTGCAGCCTCTGCTCTCCTGCTGCTGCGACCGTGTCACCCCACTGTACCTGTTTAAAGCCTTTCCTTTATTGCTCTTTTTCTGCATTATATTGAAACTCCCTATAAATTATAAGACTGAGAATAACTTCTTCCCTGGCTATGACATTTCCTTATACTGCTCCATCCCAAATCTCTTTGCTAACCACTCTATTTTATATTCCACTCTTGGCTTTGTACTTCATTTCACGTTGCCCCTACAAATAGAATTGCTTCCCACTGATTGGGCAGCATGCAGCTTTTCCTCCCTTCATTAAACGTCCTTTTCTATACTTCCTTGTCTTTCACTTGCTATCGAAATATTTTACTTGTGTTTTAGTTCTCTCATAACTGCTTGGGGCAGGGACCTTGTTATGTGCACTTATGGTGCTCCATAAATAATAATAAACAACATTCAGCAGCATGTTAGGATGATAGTGAAATAGTCAACTGACCTGTTATCCAATGGTATTCATCAAAAGTTCTCCTTACATGTAGTTAAGGCAAGGCAAAGAAAATAGTATCTAGGAAACAAATTCAGCTTACACTGTGCTAAAATGAGGCCAGCAGCTACACCCCTTTCCTTACATTTTTCATAGATCAGTATGGAAACCTAACCAATGATGATTTCAGCAGGACAAAGCTCAGATCACTAGACTTGCCAAGACAATCATAGAACCTCTAGTAGATCTGTTAACACTTTGGATTTTGTTTATCTATTATTTTTTAGGTCATACCATCCTTTTATTCCACAAAACATCTGTAATTATTTCCTATAAATGCACATTTTCATTTCAGATAAAACCAAAAAATTCGGATTGATTTCTAAATATGCTGCAACTACAAGCAAATATTATACTTGTGTGCATTTATTTTTTTTTTTTTAAACTATGTTAGTTAATATGCATACTAATGCTCTCCAGCATTAGATAAATTATCAGTGTGGACTCTCAAAATTGAAATTTCAGTGCTTTTGATCAGCCAGGATTCCAGACTCTGCAAATTACAGTTAGCCGTTGGAAGTATTTTAGATGTCAATCAATAAAAACACTATCACCCATCTGATTCCATCTCAGGGAGGACTGTGGTACAGAAACTATGTACACTGGCCTGTATGTTACATTTAAGTAGGTATAGTTTGGATTTGAAAAATCTCTAAAAGTGTAAAATAGAAAAATATTAATCTATATTAATCCTAAGAGTGTGAAAAACACATAGTTTACCTGTGCAAGAAGGTAAAGATGTCCATTCCCCATCAATACATTCTATTTTTCTTGATCCAATAATTTTAAAACGGAGGTCACAGTCATATTCCACTGAGTCGCCATGTTCATATTCCTCATGAAGTTCACTGATAATATTCCCATTGGTAATGCTGGGTGGTGGCCCACAAGCTTTTGTTTCCTCTAATACAAAGAGATTATATCTAGACAGTTGTTCCAATTAAAAATAGACTACAATAAAAAATGAAAAAACCCAAATTCACTGCTTCAAGTGGAGAAAGATGGCACAGCTGACTATGAATTAATCTTATCTCTGGAGATTTGGATTCAAATCCTACTTTAGGTCACAAGTGGAAATGAGTGCCCTGAGTTCAACCTACTACCACTTCACACAACTGGCAGTTTCACTATAATCAAAATGGACGGAAACAAATTCACAGTTTCAAATGGGAAATTAAGGCACAGTGGGTTAGTAAGTGAATTGGCATGAGGATAGATGGGGTAGTTCACCTTGGGATAGACACTAGGATCCAGAAAGAGCCCACAGAAGAGTTGCTGAGTATTGAAGAGCCAGATTTACTAAGAGGTATCCTACTTAAATAAGCCTAAGGGAAATATTTACCTTTGCATGTCGGAGATGCTGGGAACCATCCAAAGTAATAGCACTGAGAGGAGTCAGGTCCCACTCGTTTGTGACTTTTTGCACAGGAAAAAGTTACCACATCTCCATTATCGTATTTAGCTTTCGGGGGGGAAACCTGGCCATGGGCCAATCTCAACATTTCACATTCTATGGCTAAAGATGATGGTGAGGAAAGGAAAGGAAATATATTATAGCAAATACTTCTAGGGGAAAGTATTTAAAATACAAAAGATTTGAACAAAATGGGTTGATCAAAAACCAGTTTTAAACCATGGAAAGGCACCCATTGATTTGGATCAGGGCTTTGGTTAGCACCAAGAACAAGAATCTTGCTGAAAAAACTGGGAATTTGTAAAAGAGTTAGAATTCCATCTAGGGCAGGGAAAGAAAAGAAGGCAAGCAGGAAAAAAACAAGCACAATAGGATATAATTGGGAGGAAAAACAAAGATGACATTTAATCAAATGAAGGGGTGACTTTCCATAATCTTTCCCCCACATTCTATTAATTTAAATATAAACATTTTTGCAAGTAATTTAGAAACTGGTAGTTTCATGGACACAGATCCTTACTCAGAAAAATCACACTTGGAGTACTCCAAATAATCAGTTAACGATGCTGGCCTTTCAACCTGGATTGTTATTTGTCATGACTTAAAATACAACTATTACTTGTTCAAAGTTTTCGTAAGATTTGTTTGTCTTTCATAGTACAATAATAATTCTGCAGTTTCCAGTGCTCTGATTACCTCTTATTTCCCAATGGTTCCATTACTTTTGAATTTAATCTGTACCCCGTTTGAATCAGAGCTGCTCCATCCAGAGTCTGGAACAGACAGATGCAGCTAATGCCGAGCAGACCACGAAGCTCTCAATCCCAGTGGATCTGGATCTGTGCAGAGCAGAGATACCCCAGCCCCTCCAACCCTCCTCAGACTTCCCTCAGAGCCTGACCCAGTGGGGACAGTATTTATTGTCCGTATTGCAGTAGTGTCTGGGGTGCCCAGTCCAGACTGAGAACCCCACGGCACCAGACGCTGCACAAACAGCCAGTCCCTCCCTGTAGAGCTGACATATAAGTACAATATTTATATTCCAATGGATTTATTTTATTATTATATGGTAAAAATTAGAAAGTAAGCCATTTTTCAGTAATAGTGGACTTTTTATGTCTGATTTTGTAAGCAGGTGAAACTTGGAGGCTCGCAAGACAAATCCGACTCCTGAAAGATGTGCAGTAATTTGGAAAGGTTAAGATTACGAAGAACACACTTTTCTGGGGATTGCTGACTGAATGCATTGAATGATTCTTGACTGTCCCAGCAGACATGAACACTTCCCACCCAGTCATTATCCACAATGTAACCTGCTCCTAAATCAGAGCTATTTAAATTAGTAATCAATATAGCAACTATGACAGTCAAAGGAATTCGTTCTGCAGAGTAGTAATTTAATTAAAACAAAACAAAAACACCTTACCAGGACACTGGGGCTCAGGAGTCCATCCATTTATGCCACACACTGTATAACCTGTTGTGATTTTATTTACAGTTTGGTGTCCATCCGCACATTCATATTCCAGTATTTCTTCAGGCAGAAACACCATTTGATTTGTGTGGAAATTAATATGCTCGTATCGAGGCTTTTCACATGTTTCTGTAGAATTAGAGAAATGTAGTTATTTTTCTTAATTAGAAACTCTGGCATTCTAAAGCATCCTCATTATATCTACCTTTGTGAATTTGGGCCTCAGTATAGTAAAAAAATGAAAATTCTACACACAGTACCACACATTATATCTCTTTAAATTTTCTTTAGGACTACATGGTGGTGAAAGGAAAGTGTTCATAGATTTAGAAGGCAAGACCAGAAGAAAACATTTAGGCAATAAATATATACTTGCATTTTGCATGCTTGCTTCTTACATCATTCCCACTAATGTTTACCAGACATGTTTGTCTTTGAAAATCTACAGTGATAATAGTGACTCAAACCTTTCCCTTGAGAGTCAACACTAATGCTCTTATAATTCAGAATATCTTCCTAATGTCTAGCATAAAAGTTTTCCTTCCTTGGATTCAGGCCATTGCCTTTTTCCTACCATTTGAGACTGTGAGTATAATTCCCTTCTTTCAGTTGCTGCACTACATACTGTTACTGTGATTGTTACAGTTAGGTTGCAGTCATGATCCCTTGAATCATCTGTAAGGGCTAGATTCTGCTCCAGTGTAGGGAAGCCAGGGAACAGATTCTCTGGTCTTGTCCAGCTATGCTGAGCAAGGAACAGGGCCGGCTCCAGGCACCAGCCTACCAGGCATGTGCTTGGGGCGGCACCTGGAGGGGGGCGGCGCTCAGGCCCGAGAGCGGGGCCGTGACTGGGCTCGCCGCCCTCCCCGCAGTGCTCCGGCCAGCCGGGGAGAGCGGGGCCACGGCCAGGCTCTCCGCCCTCCTCCCAGTGCTCCGGCCGGTCGGGGAGAGCAGGGCCCGCGGCGGGCTCACTGCCCTCCTCCCTCCCCGGCGCTCCTGCTGCCGGGGAGAGCGGAGCCGCGGCGGGCTCGCCGCCCTCCCCCAGGCACTCCTGCTGCCGGGGAGAGCGGGCCCGTGGCCGGGCTCTTCACCCTCCTCCCGGCGCTCCGGCCGGTCGGGGACAGCGGGGCCCCGGCCGGGCTCGCCGCCTTCCCCTGCCGGGCTCCCTGCCGCGGGGGTGGGGGGCGGCGGGAGGCTTTTTTGCCTGGGGCAGCAAAAAAGCCAGAGCCGGCCCTGGCAAGGAACCTGATCAAGGGATAGAACAAACATGACTTCAAGCCAACCTTCTGCCTTCCAGGTTGCTCCTCCTCCTTCAAGCTATTTTATGCTGGTTACCTATGGCCCCAAAAGGTCATTTCAGCAGCCAGAAGAGCCAGGACATCCCAGTTATGATGCCTTTTTCCTAGTCACACCTTTATGCTTGGGGGGAATTCCAACCAGCCAACTATTTTTTTGGTTGTTTTCTCCAGTCAGAGCTACGCAAAGCAGATGGAACAGGAGGAGAATTGGGCCTTATACGTATAAAAAGGCAAAGGTGGGAAGCAACACAACAGTAAATAAGGAGTTCTCACTGCATTCAATTATGTGTCCCTAATACTTAGCTCTGTTTTATCCCATTTGAGGGTCTGGTCCTTGTTTACCAACCAAACTAATCCATGCGTTGGCACGGTCATGTTCACTGCCTTTATTTTCAAATCATAACATTCATGAACACCACAAAAGTCAGATATTTCCCTACTGATTTCCAAATGAGTCACAAATTGCAGGGAATCTCCTCCCTGTAGAAACATGAGAATTATTCTTGACTGGAAATATGGGAGGCTACTTAATAAAGAGCCATGCATCCAAAGGAAGGTTTATTCATTTATTGAGACAATTTTGTAGACTATTTTGTGTGAAACACTCCAGTGTGCAAGAGCTATTGCAGGTGCTATCGTACGGGACACCACTTTGCAGAGCCAGAATTGCGAACAGCTTAAAGTTCATGTATTTCACAGACAGATAATCTAGATGGGATTTCCTAGGTCTTGGTAGCTATGCTGTTTATTTAATACTCTTCTCTGTGCGATGGAATGGACTTCATTTGAAGACAAATTATAAGCAAATTCTTTTATGCACAAAGGTGTTCTGTGTATGTGGATACTAATAGGGTAAAAAGAGGAATAGCCAGGAAATAAGGCAGCCTGGAATAAAAGGAAGAGATGACCCCCAGTTGGATTGGGTTAATGTTGGAGTTATTATCCCACAAAAGTGGGAGATTTAATTGTCCACTTTAATCACCATATTTCCTCTCATCTGGAGAGAAGGAACTCCAGAAACCAGGAAGATAACTAAGATACCTAAAGTGACAACAATTGGAAGAAAGTTTTTAAAATTTTGTGCTCTGATGCTTTTACATAAAATGTATGTCTTTATGATTTAAATACTGATCAGTCAATGGTAAGTTATTTTATTTATGATGGTAATACTTCCCCCAAATAATAGATTAATTTTGTCCAGTCATAGTAAGACATAACCCAAGGAGCCTCAGCCTTGTAAGTTTCCCCACACAGGGCCGGCTCCAGGCACCAGCTTAACAAGCAGGTGCTTGGGGCCGCCAAGGGAGAGGGGCAGCACCTGCGGCAATTCGGGGCGGCAGGTCCCTCACTCCCTCTAGGAGCGAAGGACCTGCCACTGAACTGCTGCCGCCGATCGCGGCTTTTTTTTTTTTGCTTGGGGCAGCAGAAATGCTGGAGCCGGCCCTGTCCCCACATGAAGCTGAAGCTTCTCCCCATACCTGAACATGGTGCTCATCTCTAGTGAGGAAAAAAGGAGCAATGTGACAAAGTAGAGAGTTCTTCAATCATTAAATTACTCACTAATGCACTTTGGTAAAGGAGTCCATCCTCCTCGAAGGCACTGTGTCTTCCCCATCTCATTTCCTTCTGGAGTCGTGTAAGCAATCCGACACCTATATGTTGCTTCCTCATTTAAAGTAAATCTGTTCTTACTTTCGAAGAAATAACCATTCTGTATCTCAACTTTTCCACATATTTCTAAAATAGAGAGCGTATGACATTATCTCAAGATAAATACTGTTAATTAACATGCTTTTCATAGGTATAGAGTGACCATGAGAAGAGATACACCTGAAATGAAATGGAGGAATGCTATTTAAAAAATTTTTGAACAATAAGTTCCTTCATACTTTTGGACAGTGGGAGGGGAAGGTAAGAAATCAGAGTGTATATCAGTGTTTTTTATCTCTCACAATCATTCCTGATACTGATTTCTCAAAGCCAATCTAAAAGATGGTTGGACTGAAAATGGTCATTTTGATTCTGACACTGCCAGCTCTTATTTTGTGGGAAAAGTTCTCTCTTTTTGTTGTATGTGCTGTATGTACAAGTAATTTGGTGAAGCAGCTTCATGGTTTAATGCACCTGACAATCATAAGGGGCTCATCCGTGAGAAAGACAGTGCTAAACATCACAGAGACATTATCACTTAACCTACCTTCTTCAGAGACAGCCTCTCCCACTGCAATATTTCCACAGCTGTGATCAATAGAGCATTCATGCTACACCCCCTCAGTTTAAAGGAGAGGGTGCTGGTAGCGGGGCATTATCCTGGAGGGGCATTCAATTTTGGAATTCACTCTCTCCCTGAATTTGCTGACTTCCAGGATACACTGCACAGCCCATCCACTTTCTTGGGCATTTGGGGAGAGTAGAGATAGGGAGGGAATGAGGCTTTGAGGTAGGATGTGTTTGTCTGAATTTTGTTATGGAGGTTGATGACTTGATTTTACACATAATATCTTAATTGATGTTCAAGCCCCCAGAGCTACCAGACAAACTGTGCAAGCCACTCCATGGAGGAAGAGGAGGCAGAGGGGCAAGGTGGAGCCATGGCTTTAACCCACTTTGCAACATCCAGAAGTGCTGACCAGGTATAGACAGAGGAACATGCTGCATTATCCCAAAAGATGGTATAATGCACACACAACTCATGCCTGGTAGAGAACTGGAGGAAAGATAGGATTTCCTGGAGCACAACTGCTCCCTGGATTACTTTGTCTCCACAAAAACGAGAAGTACCTGTGGCACCTTATAGACCAACAAATTTATTTGGGCATAAGCTTTTGTGGGCTAAAAGCCACTTCATCAAATGCATGGAGTGGAAAATACAGTAGGAAAATATATATAGCAGTACATGAAAAGATGGGAGCTGCCTTACATCTGATGAAGTGGGTTTTAGCCCACGAAAGCTTATGCCCAAATAAATTTGTTAGTCTATAAGGTGCCACAAGTACTCCTCGTCATTTTTGCTGATACAGACTAACATGGCTAACACTCTGAAATTTGCCTCCACACTTTCCCCAAACACAGACCAGACCAGTGGCTAAATGTCACAATTTATAAATATTAGGTGGAGCTAATAGTAACATCTTTTATTAAATTTGCCCGATTCTCTGTATGATAAAATCCCATTTATAATTGCTTGTAACTTTGTTAGACTTTAACCATTTGGATTGAAATTTTCCATGTCTGGTGTCTGCCTCAGCATCATTTTTTGTTTTGTTTTGAAAAGTTGAATCTGAAACAGTTTCACTGTTTCGGAGACTGATGTTTGAGTAAAATATTCTGTTTTGTCAATGTTAAGTTATTGTTAGAGCTGTTTTGTTGAGAACCTCTAGCACTTCCATGGTTTGGAGCAGGGACTCAGCATTTCGCTGTGGTGTCCACTTGTTGTCAAAGATTTACCTTTTGCTGTCCTCAGAAAAATGCACCCAAATTTGGCCATGTTATAAATCTATGAAAGTCACAGTTTGTACAGGTTTGGAGCTTGATTATTCTCTAAAGATTCCATCTGTACTGAACATGCTCTCGCCCAAGGTGGCAGGGGCTGAGAAGAACTTTCCTTGCAAATGTGTCTCTTGGCTCCTAGGGGCCACACTCATGCCAGGCACTGAGACTGTGGGTATGTCTACATAAGAGTTGGAAACTTGTAAATTCTAGCATGAAGAGACATACTTTAGCTTTAGCTCCAATCAAACTAGCACAGTAAAAATAGGAGTACTGCTGTGGTGATGCAAGTGGCTAGCCATCTCAGTACATACCTATGATCTTTGACAGGATCAAATGTGGGGAGGCTAGCCCCTCCCACAGCTCAAGTGGCCACAGCTACATTTTTATTTTTAGTGCTGAGAGGTGGGAATAAGGATGGCTATGGGGTTGAGTTAAGGAAGAACAGGGTTGGGCAGAGGGGTTGGGGATTATTATTATTTTATTACAAAAAGATATGCTTAGCTCTATACAGAAGACAAAGAAATACCTGGTACCTGTCCCAACCCCAATCTAACTTTTAGAAATGAAACAATTAGGGTTGCCAATTTTCCACTGGCACAACACCAAAAAGCCTTGCCCCGCCCTCTGCCCCACCCCTCCTCCAAGCCTCCCCCTCACTCCGCCCCCCCCCATTGCTCGCTCTCCCCACCCTCACTCAATCATTTTCACTAGGCTGGCTCAGGGGGGTTGGGGTGCGGGAAGGGGTGTGGGAGGGAGTGCAGGCTCTGGGGTGGGGCCAGGGATGGGAGGTTTGGGGTGCAGGAGTGTGTTCCAGGCTGGGACCAAGGGGTTCAGAGGGCAGTCGGGTGGTCAGGACTGGGGCAGGGGTTTGGGGCCCAGGAGGGGTTCAGGGGTGCAAGCTCCAGGCAGCACTTACCTTAATCAGCAGCATGTCCCCCCTCAGGCTCCTATGCGGAGGTGTGGCCAGGCAGCTCTGCGCCCTGCCCCATCTGGAGGCACTGCCCCCGCAGCTCCCATTGGCCATGGTTCCCGGCCAGTCGGAGCGGCACTTGGGGCTGGGACAGCATGCAGAGCCCTCTGGATGTCCCTACAGGTAGGAGCCTGAGGGGGGACATGCCGTCTGCTTCCCGGAAGCGGCACTGAGGCTAGCAGGGAGCCTGCCAGTCCCACTGCACAGCACTGCCAACTGGACAGTCAACAGCCCAGTCAGTGGTGCTGACCGAAGCCACCAGGATCCCCTTTTGACCAGATGTTCTGGTCAAAAACCGGACACCTGGTCACCATACATAGAACAAGCAGGGGTGATAAACAGCAGTCAGGGGCTGGGTGAAGAACTTTGAAGGTCAATGCAATATGATTGCACAGTTACTCAGGTCAGAAATGTGCATTGTCATGACAAGTCACCTGCTAGGACTGGCATTTTTGTCTTCATTTCAGGCAGATGATAATAGTAATACGTCTACAAGTTTTTTAACGAGCTGATCAATAGAACATGAATGTTCCTTACTGTGAGAAGTACAACTTGGAGTAGGTGACCAGCCATTCTTTGTGCATGTAACTTTGGTTCGCAGATTATCAGAACATTCATATGAAATTTCATCACCTTCTTTGTAGGTGTTCCTATAGCCAGGCAGAAATCTACCATTTTCCAAATGACCAGTAGAACACTTTTCTAAAGGAAAAAAAAAAAGATTACATTCGGTTAGCAAATGGAAGTCAGACATTTAACAAAGAAAAAGCAAAACAAAACAAACCACCCTCTTCAAAACTAGCTATTTATTTGGAAAAAAAATATTTCAAATAAGACCTTCTTGCTGCATAGTACTGTAGTACTTTATACTGAAAAGACCTTTATTTTCAAATATGAATCAAAGAGCTTGATTTTTGCACCAGCCTGAAATTTGTTATATCAACTGTGCACAGTTGTAAATAATTACACAAGATGCAAGACAGTGAAGAATTGGGTCACACGGGCCAGATTCTCAATTGGTGCAAAACAGCAAGCTCCATCAACCTCAATGGAACGACACTGATTTTACACCAGCCAAAAAAATCTTGCCCAATATGTTTCTTAAGTAGTGGTGTCTGCACAGATTCATTTACAGCATTAGCCTCCAGAAGACGTTATCAATCATATTATTCCCTCAAGGTATTTTATTTATAGGTATCACTATGATGCTCATTGAATCAGATTATTAAAACAAAAAGCATCTTTACAGAATCCAAATGATACAGGTACTGAAACGCCAACATGTAGGAACATAGATACCATTGCTGTTGATTGGGTTTATGTTCAGGCTCAGGCACTAGCTGAAAAGTTCCATTAATCCAAAATAAAAACCAAAGTGAGGTGTAATGGGATTGTTTAAATCATGCCATTATAATGGAAATCACATCATCAGCCCAGGATAAACAAGGTGACAGGAGAGGGCCAACAGCCAAAGGAAGCATCTCTTACTTTCCTTCTCCCCATGCTCAGTCACTGGACTAGTGTGATGAAGTGTAAAGGTCCCTGACAGCCTAGGAGCAAAGAACAAGGTTTGGTACCAAAATTCTGATTCCCTGAATATTTTTTAACCTTTTTTTCCCACCCACTTCCATGAGCTGTGAATGCCAGGAAAGTGCGACTGGCAATTACAGTGTGATTGAAGTTGTGGAGTACTTGTGACTTTGCATTTTCTGTCAGGACACTGCCTATACTCAGAAAGCCTCCCACTGTGTGTACCCAATGTCCTTCTGCTTCAGATCCCTCATTAAAAGTAACTTGCCACAAGAGTCTGAGTCTTTTGACCTTGTACTAGAGTTGTCATCCTGTTTAATATATTGGTCAGAATTCAACTGCAAGGTGTTTGGAAAAGTAACTGTTCTTTTTTGTGCTTTGTGGACGTCCTATGCACATTCACAGCACTATTTTATTTACAACTCCACACTTAAGGTTGTGATGAAAATATTTCCACTACAAACATTGTTTTGATCAACTCCTCTCTTTTAACTTTGTAGCTTTTTCAAGGAGCAATTTTATAACTAATATAAGGCGGGTTCCCTGTCCTCCCCCCACTCTCCAAGTGTAGAATAAAAATGTTCAAACACCTAGACCTAAAAAGTGAGCCCTTTATGAAAAGTAAAAATATATAAAGAAATAAAACAGACCAAAACTACACAAAACCCATTCATAATATCCCTGCCATTTCTAACTTGAAAATAGAATAAGCTACAAACTGAAAAATTCATTCATAGGCAGATATTTATACATCCTCATGCCTACTCATTAGAATTTCAGTTTTTCAACAAAAATGTTAATTGATTGTGTTCACACCAACCAAACCACCCTGTAAAAGTATGATCACAGGGGGCATATAATTGTACTTTCTAGTTTCTTAGCACTTATAGTTTTAACTACTACTGAACTGCATTGTAAACTACTAGGAATGTGGGGAGAAGGAGGTGAGTCATATGGGTGCATTGAACTAGTGGGGTCTGGAGCAGGTCAGGGAGAGGCTTTGGTCATAGGATGTCTATTCAGTGCAGCTCCCAGCTCCAGCTTAAAAACACATTTGGTGGCTAGTGAGCCTGCTAAGTTGGAGGGAAGCAGTCCTCTCCTCCAGCAAACTTTAGCATCTTCATAGGAGGTGGAAGGGGAAGAGTAGATTGGCATGGAAGTAGCCAAGCAGAAGGGCTGGCCCATGCTTGGAGTCAGGTTTAGAATTAGGCCATATGGTGGGTTTTGTAGCTGAGCTGAAGAGGAGCAAGAATACACATCAGGCTGTGACAACTGGTAGGGGCAACAGAACCGGAGACTTTCTGTGTATATCTACACAATGAGTGGAAGCCCACAGCAGCAAGTCTCCAAGCCTCGGTTGACAGACTCAGGCTCATGGTGCTCGCGCTACCATGCTAAAAATAGCTGTGTAGATAGTGTGACTTGAGCTGGAACTTGGGCTCTGATGCCTTGACGGGGATGGAGGTGGGGGTGGGCTTCAGAGCCCAAGCTCCAGACTCAGCTGTAATCTCTATACTGATATTTTTACTGTAGCAGTGCAACCTCTGTAAGCCCAAATCTCTTGTTACAAACTTGGAGGTCCTCTGCCATGGACTGGGTAGACCAGGGATCGGCCGATCAGGGCTCCCACTGGCCGTGGTTTGCTGTTCCAGGCCAATGGGGGCTGCGGGAAGCGGCGCCCAGCACATCCCTCGGCCCATGCCGCTTCCTGCAGCTCCCATTGGCCTGGAGTGGCGAACCACGGCCAGTGGGAGCCCCGATCGGCCGAACCTGCAGACGCAGCAGGTAAATAAACTGGCCCAGCCCGCCAGGGTGCTTACCCTGGTGGGCCGTGTGCCAAAGGTTGCCAATCCCTGGTGTAGACGGACCTTTTGAGGGGCCATGAAAACAGCTGGTCAGACAAGAAGACATTTACAGGTGCTCCATGAAAAAATCTGCATAATAGATGGATAAGACCCGTAGATTAGTTTTCTTCAACTGGCATTCAAAATTTTCCACTTAAAGTAGAAAGAATCTAGCTTTGTAAAATGTTTTGTGCACGAATCTGAGAAAGCCTGGCATTAGCTAAAGACTTCTGGAGAGGCAGAGAATCCTAAGAGTCCACGCTTTGCTCCCCAACCTCTCATTACCCCAATTAGTTACCCCTCCAGCCAGAACTGGTCTCCAGCTATCCAGACTATATACATTATTTGTGTGTGTGTTTCAAAAGGTTGATAGAAACTATTTGACCTGGTAGAGTAAGGGTGTGCAGGGAGTGGGGGAACAAGATTTCTTTTGTTTCAGATTATAATAGCATATTCAACACTTCCCAATGCCCCTAATGGCCTTTCCCAACCCTTCTGGGGGGGTCATGACCCTCTGGTTGAGAAATCCTGGCCCAGTAATTTGGGCACAGAAGCTGGACTGGAGAGTAGGGAGTAAGGGGAATGCAGCCCCAAGCCTCTGCTTTCCTGCAGGGCTGCCAATCCTTGAAATATACATTATAAAAGGGAGATTTTGATCATACTTGTGCTAATACTACAAAGAAAAGAACAAAAAAACTAATTTATGCACCCTGCTGATATTGATTTTGTCCCAATTCCTTAAGCTTTCACAGTTAAAGTTTAACTAATGTTTTTAGACTTTGAATTGTTGGTCATGAGGGTGTGAATTGGTGGTGTTAATTGCCAATGCTGGGTGCTAATGACAGAACTGCAGTATTGTTTTAACCTTGCTTAAACAAGATGTCCAGTTGACAATTTCAAAACAGAACAGCAAAAAGGAAAGCTAAGCTAGAAAGAGAATATTGTAAGCAAGTTACCCAAACTTGCTAACTATTTCTCTGTTAGTACTGCTTCAGAATCATCTTCCATGATTGTGGACCATCTTTCTTAGAAAATGATAATCAAAGCAAAGATATGAGTATGAACTTGTTCCCTCAGGAGACTTCAGAAAAAAAGGCAAGCATTCCTGAAATCAAGGACAAAACTAATGATGAAAGAGATGAACCACTTTTTCTAACACCTGTCCATACAGAAGGTAGAATGAATAATAGTGATAAAGAGGATGATGTTGCTGTTAGTGTTGAACAAAATCTGGCTAAATGGCCTTCTTTGATAATGGAAGAGTTTTGTACTACATGTATTGAGAAAGATCTGCTCTATTTTCAGAATCGCAGTGACAAAGTTATAGTTTCTGAGTATCAGAAATGGTATTTTTCACCTCTTCTTTTTAAATGAAAACTACCAAATGGAGAGCATCATCAGAGGCATTGGTCAAAGCATTCTAAATCCACAGGAGCAGTATTCTGTTTTATGTGAAAACTCTTTTCATTGCCTAATAATCTTAGCATCTTCATAATCCCAGGCTTTTCCAACTGGAAAAAAGCAGAGGAAAAGACTTGTTCTCATGAAAACAGCGTGGAACATTGTAACGCCATAGTTGCATGGCTAGCAAGTTCACAAGGCAAGAATCACATTGACAGGTAGATGGTACAGCTGCATCTAACACAAACTGCTTACTGGGAAGACATTTTAAGGCATATTGTGACACTTATTAAGCTTCTTGATGAACGTGGTTTAGCATTTAGAGGAAGGGAGGAAGTTATTGGCTTTCCTCAGAACCGAAATTATCTAGATATTCTTGAAGCCATCATCAAATTTGACCAGTTTGTAAGAGAGCATATTAAACACTATGGAAACAAAGGGAAAGGTCACCCATCCTACTTGTCAAAAACAAACTGTGATGAGTTCATTGAGCTCATAAGGTTTTGGAATTCATTGTAACCAGGGCCGGCTTTAAGCCGATTCAGCCGATTCCCCGGAATGGGGCCCCGCGCCTAAGAGGGATCTGCAACGTCCGGGGCTGCCGGCGGAGAGGGGAAAAAAAAAAAAAAGCCGCGTCCTGCTTCTCCCCCCTCCCTCCAGCGCTTGTGCCGCCATAGAGCTGATCAGTGCAAGCCTGGGAAGGAGGGGGAGGAGGAGGAATGAGGCGTGCTTGGGGAAGAGGCGGGGCCAGGGCAGGGATTTGGGGAGGGATCCAATGGGGCAGTGAGGGGGCGGGGCGGGGGGCGGGGCCAGGGTGGGGATTTGGGGAGGGATCCAATGGCGCAGGGAGGGGGCGGAGTCGGGACGGGGCCGGGACGGAGTTGGGGCGCGAGACAATTCGTGTCCCGGCGTGGGGCCCCGCACCTGCTAAAGCTGGCCCTAATTGTAACTGAAGTCAAACAGGGAAAATACTACTCTTTGATAGTAGATTCAACTCCTGATATCGCCCATGAAAGTCAGTTATCTGTCATTTTATGCTACTGCTTACATGGTGCCATAAGAGAGCTCTTAATTGGGTTTATACCAACTGAAAGCCAGATGGGCAAGTCATTCTTCTAGACCATGAACAGTTTATTGGATGCAAATGACAATGCTATTGAAAACTGCAGAGATCAGTCATACAATAACAAAAGTAACATGTCTGAAAAGTATGAAGATCTTCAAGCTTATATCAAAAAAGAGTAAACCCACTAGCTGTGTATGTGCCATGCACAGCTCTTCTCTGAACTTAGCTGGGACTTGCAGTATTGATTGTTGCATGGAAGACATAAATGTTTCAGTTTTGTTCAGAAACTGTATCTTTTTTGTGGTGTTGCCCAGGCATGGAAGCTTCTACAAAACAATCTTATCAAAAGGAAACAAGAACCTCTCCTTGTCCTAAAAACCCTGTGTGACAGGGTCAGGCCAAATGGATACAGGAGAGTGATCCTGTTGGTAGCCAGGAAGTGGGAGGGCAGAGCCCACTGCTAAAAGACCTCCCCCACAGCCTAAGGGGAGGATCCACAGGTCCGTGATACCAAATAACTGCGGGGAACAACTAATGAGATAACAGGAATGGAGTGAGATCACAGGGCTAAACAAGAGTGATAGAAGGTAGAAATATTAGCCCCAGATTAAGCAAGTCCCTTTTCCCTGAGAAAGATAATGGGCTCTTCCAGAACAACCAGAAAGTTGTTGGAACCAATAGAGGCTGGGTCTACACTACAGCGGGGGTCCGACCTAAGATACGCAACTTCAGCTACGTGAATACCGTAGCTGAAGTTGCGTATTTTAGGTTGGCTTACCTGGCGGTGAGGACGCGGGAAAGTCGACCGCTGCCGCGCTGCCGCCGACTCCGCTGCCGCCTCTTGCCGAGGTGGATTTCCGGAGTCGACGGCAGAGCGATCAGGGATCGATTTTACCGCGTCTTCACTAGACGCGTTAAGTCAATCCCCGATAGACTGATTGCTACCCGCCGGATCGGCGGGTAGTGAAGACATGCCCTAAGGCAGGAAGGCTAATTAGGATACCTGGAGCCAATTAAGAAGCTACTAGAATCAATTAGGACAGGCAGGCTAATTAGGGCACCTGGTTTTAAAAAGGACTCCACTTCAGTTAGTGAGGTGCATGCGAGGAGCTGGGAGCAAGAGGCGCGCAAGGAGCTGAGAGTGAGAAGGTGTACTGCTGGAGGACTGAGGAATACAAGAATACAGGAGGAAGGTCCTGTGGTGAGGATAAAGAAGGTGTTGGGAGGAGGCCACGGGGAAGTAGCCCAGGGAATTGTAGCTGTCACACAGCTGTTACAGGAGACACTGTAGACAGCTGCAATCCACAGGGCCCTGGGCTGGAACCCATAGTAGAGGGCTGGGCCGGGTTCCCCCCATCCCCCCAACTCCCTATTTAATACTGTGGGTCCCACCAGAGGGGAAGGTCTCTGGCCTGTCCCTCGACCCACTAGGTGGGTCAGCAGAGACTGCGGGGAGTGTTCTCCTCCTTTTCCCCATGCTGGCCAGTGATGAGGTTAGCTGAGTGAATGGCAGTTTTGAGCCACTGGCAAAAGTGGCCAAACTGAGGGCTGCCGTAAATCTCTGAGGTGAGCAAATCCGCAAATAAGCAAAGGACCCACCCAGGCAGAGGAGGAACTTTGTCACACCTGTCAGATATGAGATGGTCCTGTCATGCTGAATGTTGTAAAACAATTGTAGTGAAATATGAGGGCATTCAAAGTTGTCTGAAAGAAATGATGGACAATGCTGAGGAAAGTGTTGAAACTCAGAGGAAAGCACAATTGTACAAGAAAGCGTGCAGCCTGGAAACTGCTTGTATTAGTATCTTATGGAACGTTAGACAAGAAAGGTTTGACAAAACTAGTGTAAGCTTCAAAAGCCAGGTCTGAATCTTGTCGTTGCTGTTAATTTTCTGACTTCTTTGCAAGCATTTGTCACAAGCTTACAGTGTCATTTTGATGATTTTGAGGAGCAAGCAAAACAATTGGGAGGTTATGCTGATGAGTCCAACAATGAAGTACACAAACATACTGTAAAGCAAAAATTTCCTGATGGCAGAAGTGACACTGCTTTGAGGGAAAGGGAAATTTGAGGTTGACTGCTTTTATGTTATCCTCCATAAGCTAAGTTCAGAACTAAAAAGAAGAAGTTAATGGTACACTAATTATCCACAAGGTTCAGTTTGCTTACATTTCTTGATCAAATAAGCGAAGTGAAGGGGAGATGAAAACATGCACTCACACATTGCTCAATGCTTACTTGAATGATCTAGAACCTCAGCTTTTCGCCAAAATGTATCGATTTTCAGAATTTATAAGATGCTGTGACATGCGGGATAAAAGTGTTACTGGAATCACCACATTTTTGCATGACAAATATCTGAGCAATGTTTTCCTGAATATTTATATTGCGTGGAGACTGCATTTGACTGTATCCATTGTCAATTGTGAAGCAAAGTGATCATTGTCTCAGCTTGCCTTAAAAAAAGTTGTCTTCTGTCAAGTATGGCAGAAACAAAGTTTAATGCTCTGGCTATTATGTCAATTGAATGGGATTTATTTCAAACACTGTCATTTCAAGATACAATAAGTGAATTTGCAGCACTTAAAATTTGCAAGATGCCAGTTTAAATATGAAGCATTTCATTTGACTCTTAATGTTCTATATTTTTATGTTTATCCAGGCAGTTTATTCTGTTCATTGTCTTTGATTTTCTTTTCATGATTATTCAGTAATATACATGATTTGTTGATTGTCATAAGCAGGGTACTTTTTTGCTTTGATTAATACTGTGTTGATGAAAAGGGGGCCTCCACTCATTAATCTGGCCAATAGGAGAGCTGGGTTTTATTCTTGGCTCTGACACTAACTTGTGTGAATTTTGCCAAGCCATTACACCTTTCTTTGTCTTTCTCTTCCACTTTTTTCCTATTTTGTTTATTTAGATTGCAAGCTCTTTGAGGGAGACACTGTTTCTTACTGTGTCAGTACAAAGTGATGGGGATTCAATCTTGATTATGCCTCTTCTCACAAATATTATGATGATGATTATTATTATTAATTTCCAGGAAAAGTATCTGTGTATATGAAGTACTACATGCAATTGTTCATTATGATATTAACAGTTGATGTTTTTATTTGAAGAACATAATTTTATGATTTTGTGTAAGACTGAGAATTAGGCTATGTTTATACCCTAGCTATGTATCTAATATTAGGGGCATAGAGATATATCTAGTTAGGGGTATAGAGATTATTATTTGTATGATATTGATGTATCATACAATTTTCAAAAGAGTCTACATGACTTGTTAAAGTTTCTTTCATTTGTAGTTTTGTATGATTTTGAAAACAACCAGAATTTGGCTAGTCTTTGTACAAATAAGAGGGAAAGTTTTATAGAAAGTTATTAGATTAAGTTATTTGATGGATGGCCTGAGACTCCAAAGTGGAATGATATAGAGGAGTCTTCAGTTGGCTACTTAGGTCAGCTTTAAATCTGCTTTGTATGGCTAGAGTGTTGCAAAGCAGACTTAGCATGTGTCAGGATCACCAGCTGTAGGCCTCCATATTCAGAGCATCTGGCAGTGGCACTCCACCCTCTTTGCCACCAAAGAGCAGCCTTGAAAAAAGGATAACATATGCAGCCTAAAATAGTAATCTCCAGGGCAAGCTGTAAAAGTCTTCTAAGAAACAATATATTCCCACAGAGCAGGAGAGAGTGTGCGTGTACGCACGTGCACACATGGGCAATGGCAAAAAAGAGAAAAGAATTCCTATAGTTTTGTCACTCTCACAGGCAGCTTTCTTACAATTGAACATCCCAAAGACAAAAGAACCACCTACGCCTCTCCTCATGAAGAAAAGTTCACAACACAAAATACCCCTCCTCATAGGTCTCTCTCCACACAGGTTATTGATCTTTCCCTCCCTTTCTAAATCCACAAGATCCCAGTACCTTCCACTAGCACTCTCACTCTCAGAGGGATACCAATTCATATCCTATTCCCTTGTGAGAGAAACAGAAATGCTGGTTGAGGGATCAGCAATAAGGAGAAAGCAAAAAGGAGGGAAAAAAACAACAAAATACAAACAACCCCTCTGCAAATACTACAACCGGTTTATTGAAGGCCTGTTCCAAGTACGTGCTCCTTTTAACGCTGATGCTCCAGCCTGATGTGAGGAAGTATCCTTTTAAAGAGACACTCATGTCCTTGGATGACAGTCTTTGCTGGGGGAGCCAAGGGGCCAGAATGGAGCAGCGTTGTAGTAACACCCACCCTCCCTCACAGTCCTGGTTCTGTCCATTGCTGTATATAATTATTAGTTATACTACAATAGAATTTTGAACAAAATAATACAAACACAATTTTACTTACTAAGGCATTTTGGTGCAGGAGACCAGCCCGTTCTAGTACATGTGATCATAGGCCACGTCGTCTCGCTTTCAGATACGTAACCATCAAGACATCCGTAGTAAATTGACACACCTAACTGTGCTGGAAAGGCTCGTTCTTTGTGATTTTCATAATATCCACTTAATGCTCCATTTTCTATATGTGGGTAGTCACAGGGTCTCACTTTAAAAAAAGTTTAAAATGTACAATATTACAAGGTACATGCAAGAAAAAATGCCCACTTCTGTGGACACTCATTCGAAGAGGTGGAAGGAGAGAAGAGCTCTGCAAGGTTACAATCACAGTTTACCCGAATTGTTCCATTGGAGCACGAGATAGAGCTTTCACCTGGTAGGCAGGGTTTCAAGCCCCCAGAACCCACATGTTGTGTGGGATCTCCTCATGATACAGGGCCATCCACCAGTGGGCAAGATAGTGTCATGGAGGTGACAGAATTTCCTCCACACAAGACAGGACATGATCCGCATACTAAAGGTTCCCTTTGTGTGCAGATCCATGGGGAATTAACTCCATGTTTTCCAAGACATCTGGAGTCACATTATCAGAGAATTAATTTATAATACCATTGCTGGGCTCCAAATCCACTTACACCTCTTCCTGTTTTAGACAGCTTTCATTTGTTTGTAATTATCAAAGCCAAATTCTGAAGTCTTTGATAAGTTTTTACTCAGTCCCTACTCAACAAAACTCTCATTGCAGCCACTGGGATTTTACCTGAAGAAAGACTGAGTAAACATTTGAGAAAGAACTTCTTGATTTTGCACAGGGAAAAGAACTGCCTGGGAGAATCTGTTGTATGCATTGTTGGTGTAGCCATGTCAGTCCCAGGATATTAGAGAGACAAAGTGGGTGAGGTAATATCTTTTATTGGACCAGTTTCTGTTTGTGAGAGAGACAAGCTTTCGAGCTTACATAGAGCTCTTCTTCAGGAAGAGACTGACAGTTCAGAATAAATGAGGAAACAAAAATGGATGGTACAAAACTAGGGCTGTGGTATATGTAAGTGACTCAGAATCCAATTATGGCAATAGTTTTTTTTTCTTTTATACCATTCATACAGTAATGGTATTGTGCTTGGCATGCTATCATTTGGATAGATAAAACACACAGCTACAAATCTTCCCTGTAGAAGGGTGGAGTTTAGCACATTTTGTCAAATAAATCATGGTGTATATGTTAGTTGTATAGTTATTTACAGCTCCATTAACTTATACCATATCATCTTATTTTCACAGGTGCTTTAATCAAGTCCAGCAAAGTAAATAAGAAAAGTAAATAAGTGTTATTTACTCCTTCTCATAACACAAGAATTGGGGTCACCAAATGAAATTAAAAGGCAGCAGGCTTAAAATGAACAAAAGGAAGTATTTCTTCACACACCACACAGTCAACCTGTGGAACTCTTTGCCAGAGGATGTAGTGAAGGCCAAGGTCGTAACAGGGTTCAAAAAGGAACTAGATAAGTTCAGGAGGATAGGTCCATCAATGGCTATTAGCCAGGATGGGCAGGGATGGTGTCCCTAGCCTCTGTTTGCCAGAAGCTGGGAATAGGCAACAGGGCATGGATCACTTGATGATTACCTGTTCTGTTGATGCCCTCTGGGCAGGGCCGCCCAAAAGGGGGGGCAAGTGGGGCAATTTGCCCCGGGCCCCGCAGGGGCCCCCTGAGAATATAGTGTTCTATAGTATTGCAACTTTTTTTTATGGAAGGGGCCCCTGAAATTGCTTTGCCCCACACCCCCTGAATCCTCTGGGCAGCCCTGCCTTTGGGGCACCTGGCATTGGCCACTGTCGGAAGACAGGATACTGTGTTAGATGGACCTTTGGTCTGACCCAGTATGGCCATTCTTATGTTCTTAAACTCTGTAAAAGGAAAAACCCTGCAAGTATACCTGTTTCATTTCTGTTTACATTCTCAACTGCAGAAATTATATAATCATTGTATAATTGTTCGGGCTTTGATATTTTAAAAACATGTTAAAATAAAAGTAACTTACAGATACATCTTGGAACAGGTAACCAGCCATTCTTTGTGCATTCTGCTCTCCTGTCCATATTGCCCATTTCAAAGTGAAATCCTTGATTACAGTCTACTCTGATTACTTCCAATTCTCTGAACACTTTCTTTTTAGGGTGGTAGGTTCCATTAGTCACTGTTGGAGGATCACATCTAATTTCTAAACAAAAACAGATGAACAAGTTTAGCAACTGTAAAAAGGACTTTAGGCTGTAAGTCCCCCCTTCAATTAAAATTATTTGTATCTCTCTCTCTTTTTTTTTTTTTTTACTAGCTTTACTAGCATTGTCATATTTGAACATCATCTACATAAAATTGGCATGGTGAGATTCCTATGAACTTGATGAAGTCTACAGCTCTTTACCCATCGTTAGAGATCAGAGTATTTTCTTGGGGTAGTTTATTTTATTTTGGGGGTGAGAAGGGGTCAGTTGTTGTTATAAGTGTCATTCTGACTATTGTGGAAAAACTTTACCAAAAAATGAAGCCTTGCAGTGAGACCTAAAGGTGATCACACTGGATTTGTCTAATCCCTTCTGGGAGTTCATTCCACACTGCACCCCTGTTGTGTTTGGTTGGATGGAATAAGTAGGCCCAGAGAGTCCAAGGTGTTAACATGACACCGTCATGGTACAACACAAACATGGTTCAGTGGTTTGAGTACAGTGCCCTGGGCCTGCTTAGTCCCATGGCAAACACACCATTAAAATCATGTTAACCTTTTAAAGACATAGGAAAAGAAGGAAAAAGTTAAAGAATTTGAAACATAAAGTTGCAAGTAAGGCTTTATTTTAACAATATCCCTTATTCCCTTTCCCCTTAGGTAGAGGGAGATTTTAGAAGGATACCCCTCTCTTTGACCGTCTTTTAGACAGTATTAACGATGATAATAACTGGTCTTTATGGGGAAAAGAAAAATTAGTTGAGATGGGCTTGAGCTTACTGCTGTTGTTGTTAAAGTCTGATCCTGCTTCCTTTAAGATGAAACGAGACAAACACACGCCAAAAAGGAGAGAAAGGAATAGCAAAAATAGACAATGCAGCTTCTGGTCTCTAGTGCTGACTCCTACTTGCAGCTTCACTGCTGGAGAAACACAAGCACAGCAAACCCCCTTATCGGGCACTTAGAGACCTGGCAAACTTGAACCAGCATCGGGCTATTTAGGACATTGCTTTCAGCTGCCTTTCTGACACAAGCTCACAGTAGTGTTGCAAAATAAACAGTCCCGTACAGGTAGGCCAGACTTTTACTAAACGGAAGGCAAAAAGAGAGAGAGAAAAGAGAATAAGGCGGGGGTAGAAGCAGAAAAAAGGGAGGAAAGGACAACAGGAACCAAAGTTGCACATCCCACGTGGTATTCAGGATTTAGCTGGAGATGGTGAAGGTGGCGATGTCTTCTGTGTCCATCTCTCTTTCCCAGTCTCATCAGGACATCTTTCAGGATCAAGATGAAGGCCCAACGGTGTCTTAGTATCCCAGGAGATGGTGAGGGTTGCAACCCTAATGGTGAAATATCACTCCTTACAGTCCACCCATCTCCCACCCAGCCTGCTAACTCTTTCTGAAGATATATTTTTAAGGCCCCTGTCAAAGGGTGTTTGTTCAGCTACCTGATGTGCTGCATTGTCTGGCCCATTTGCGTGTTCTCTTATTCACAACATGCACACAGTCTGTCTCTTTTCCCCATGTGTACTTTTAATCTTTAGATTCCAAGCACTGCAGAACATAGCACAGACATGTGTCAGAAAGCTCCTTCCAATTATATAGCTTCCCCTTACTGAGCTAATTACCTAATTATTCCAACCATTGCCTCCGTGTCAACAATCCCCACCAAGCCTATAATCTTCTCATTGATTAATTATTAACAAATCCAGAGATCCTCATATCATCCTCTTAAATGATCCCATTGGCTAAACCAAACAAGGTGTTGACAAGCTGCAATGGAAAATGTGTCCAGCTTTCATTGGCTGGTAGGACGTTAGAGTCTATAACAGTTGCTACTGAAATCAGGAGATATTGACCCCTGTCATGTGACACTATATTCATTTTTGAACCCAAGAGCAATCAGGAATCTCATGTGGTTTCAGTGGCTTTTTTTTCATTTTTCTTTCTGTACGGAGTGTTTCTGTAGCACTGTGTTGTTGGGGAGGGGACCCTTTAGACTGGAGCTGGTCAGGTCAGATGTACGTGTCCCCTCTGTTTGCAGCAGGCTACATTGGTTGGCAGGCAGGCACTTAATTGTTTTACAATGGAGTAAGAATGCTCAACAGATTGAGGGCAAGATACCATGCTCTAAAAATAAACTAAGCAGAATAAACTCCTTCAGTTCTCACTGTAAGGCATTTTTTCAAGATCTCAAAATAATTTTTTGTGTCACCTTTCTACTTCCTTTCCATTTTTTCAACATCCTTTCTACAATGTGGACACCAGAACTGGATGCAGTAATCCCAGTAGTGGTCTCACCAATGCCTTTTGCAGAGGCAAAAAACACCTCCCTACTTCTATTCACTACTCCTCTGTTTATACATTACACAAGGATTGCATTGACCCTTTTTACAATAGCATCACAGTTCAGTTGTTTTTCCACTATGACCCCTAAATTCTTTACAGAGTCACTGCTTTCCAGGATACAGGATATATAATAATTATGTATTTGTATTACTGTAGTACCTGGGAGCATTAGTTGTGGACCAGGACCATAGCTGGCTAGCTAGATAAAAGTAACAGAACACACAGTATAAAATGGACAAAAGCAGACCTTTACAAAATGGTTTTGGACGCCATCCATATTCTGTACAATCTGCATCAGATCTTTCACCGAATGTATATCCAGGATTACAAGTAAACTGCAATCGTTCATTCTCCCTGTAAACTCTCTTTGGAGTCATTAAATTTCCATTATTAATTCTTGGTGATTCGCAGGTTACCTCTAAGGACAAAAGAAACAAAAAACAAAACAAAACAAAAACAGTTGTGATGCCTGACTAAGAAAACACCCCCTAGAAAATAAATACAAAATTTCATTTTGACATGGCTGTTTTAAAATTATGTTAATCAGGAAATAGTAAATCTGTGTTTCAACATAGAATTTAAGTCTCTGTATAAAATATAAAAGCCCATCTAGACCCTGGGATAGATTTCATGAATTGTTCTTTGGATTTTGAAGACATATTTGCAATTTGGGGTAAATATACAGAAGACAAAGTCAGCTCAATGGCATAGAAGCAGCAGCACTCTAGCAGCAGCTTTAAACAACTAACATATGTAATACCAGTCTTCCACATTTGAATTATAAGAAGTAGGGGGATGCCAGAGCTGCAAAAGTTAGCCCAACAGTGTGAATAAGCCATTAATGTGCTTGTCACCTGTCATACATTTCCTAAATAAACACTTCATAATCAGTTAATATATAAACAATTTCCTGACTCTGAAAACTCACTGGGTTCAATATTAAATGGAAATATTATGTTAAGAAATCTTTTCAGAAGCATGGTAAATCAATCCCATACTATGATCTCTATTTACAAAACAAATTAAGAATCAAATAAGTGATATATCTGGCCATGCCAGTTTGAATAAAGCACAATCCACCATGATTGTTTCAGTATTAAATACTTTAAGAATACCAATAAAGTGGAAGCATACTTGGTTTTGATATTAAATATCAAATGCCATATAGACTCAAACTCTGTTTGCAGGTTAGTCTGTTAATTTTTTAGAATAGGTAACAATAATATGTGCATGTGACAAGTTAGCAGTTAAAAAAAATATTACATATGGAGTTATCCTGTATGTGTCACACTCAGCACAGGGGAAAGATTAATGCACTTCATTAGTAAAACCATATCATTAACAAAAAACACTCTGGCTGATTAATTTTACTTCAGAACCTGGCTGTTTTCTCCTAGTTCAGTTGCAGGTTGAATGGGTAAAAATTAAAAGCAACTGATATAGCCTACAATCAGGTGTGCTCACAGAGATCAGCTCTTCTCAATGCATGGGAAGGACCTAGAAATAAGATATGACAGGAGTGCTCTGTGTTAAGCAATATTATTTCAGGAGAAGTGAAAAACAAGTATTTTAGATACTGAAGAATGCCATTCCCTCCATGTTTGTGGCCGGACATTGAGCCACCCAATTAAGAAATGAGGGAATGGAACATCCCCTGATATCTCAGCACCCAAGGAGGTGGAAAGATGTAAAGTGGTGCTTTCCAAGTCCATGGTACAAGGAAAAGAAATAGGCACATCCCTGATACATTTCATGTAGAATGTGATGATGTTATTTCTAAGTTCTAAAATGTGCTATATGCCTTAAAGAACAAACAAAGCCACAGTTTCTGCCCTGAAGAACATGCAATCTCAATGCAACACAACAGTGTAACAAGTCAGGTGGATTTGAGTGGAAATTAGGCTATAATTCTGTTTGATATACAGGAAGGAATATAATTAATCTCATTCTTTCCTACCAGTTTTGGCTTCAAAAAGCCAACTATCTAGTTGATCTACTGTCAACAGGATAGATAGTATTAGAATATGCAAAGAATTAATGAATATTCTCAGCTGTAGGTACTTTCTTGTTACATTTATTCACTCATGTATAATGTCTTATGTATCATCAGTGTTAACTTTTCAGTGAAGATTGGGGAATGTCTAGAAGACTCTATTATGACTAAATTTTCTAGATTATTTGACTTCCTTTACACATATCATGCAATGGAGATGAATACATCAGTTAAGTACTGTAATTATTATCACTGGAAATATTTTGCTCGTTCCATAACTCTCCTATAGAATAATCAGTTTCTAAGAATCTGTAAGTGCCATGATAAGAGCTTCAACAGTACCTTCAAAATCACTTTGGCTAAAGAGAAATTTCACTAAACTAAAAGATAATTTTCTTCTCACCTATGCATGTAGGTACATCAGCATTCTAATTTCCATCAGCTGAGCAATGTATTTCTTTAGATCCAGAAAGTTTATAGTCTTTATTACATTCAAACTGTACAACTTGGCCAAAGAAAAATTCTTGGTCTGCCTCATACATACCAGCTGCAAGGATTTTTCCATTTTCTGGTGCTTTTACTGGTAAATACTTGCTCATTGTAAAAATAAAGCTATAATTTAAGGCCTACTCTGTAACTATATTGTAAAACAAAATCAGCATTAAAAAAAGTGGTGATGGGGGACTTCAAATATCCAGATATATGTTGGGAAAATAACACAGCGGGGCACAGACTATCCAACAAATTCTTGGACTGCATTGCAGACAACTTTTTATTTCAGAAGGTTGAAAAAGCTACGAGGGGGGAAGCTGTTCTGGACTTGATTTTAACAAATAGGGAGGAACTCATTGAGAATTTGAAAGTAGAAGGCAGCTTGGGTGAAAGTGATCATGAAATCATAGAGTTTGCAATTCTAAGGAAGGGTAGAAGGGAGAACAGCAAAATAGAGACAATGGATTTCAGGAAGGCGGATTTTGGTAAGCTCAGAGAGCTGATAGGTAAGGTCCCATGGGAATCAAGACTGAGGGGAAAAACAACTGAGGAGAGTTGGCAGTTTTTCAAAGGGACACTATTAAGGGCCCAAAAGCAAGCTATTCCGCTGGTTAGGAAAGATAGAAAATGTGGCAAAAGACCACCTTGGCTTAACCACGAGATCTTGCATGATCTAAAAAATAAAAAGGAGTCATATAAAAAATGGAAACTAGGACAGATTACAAAGGATGAATTTAGGCAAACAACACAGGAATGCAGGGGCAAGATGAGAAAGGCAAAGGCACAAAATGAGCTCAAACTAGCTACGGGAATAAAGGGCAACAAGAAGACATTTTATCAATACATTAGAAGCAAGAGGAAGACCAAAGATAGGGTAGGCCCACTGCTCAGTGAAGAGGGAGAAACAGTAACAGGAAACTTGGAAATGGCAGAGATGCTTAATGACTTCTTTGTTTCGGTCTTCACCGAGAAGTCTGAAGGAATGCCTAACATAGTAAATGCTAATGGGAAGGGGGTAGGTTTAGCAGATAAAATAAAAAAAGAACAAGTTAAAAATCACTTAGAAAAGTTAGATGCCTGCAAGTCACCAGGGCCTGATGAAATGCATCCTAGAATACTCAAGGAGCTAATAGAGGAGGTATCTGAGCCTCTAGCTATTAACTTTGGAAAATCATGGGAGATGGGAGAGATTCCAGAAGACTGGAAAAGGGCAAATATAGTGCCCATCTATAAAAAGGGAAATAAAAACAACCCAGGAAACTACAGACCAATTAGTTTAACTTCTGTTTCAGGGAAGATAATGGAGCAAGTAATTAAGGAAATCATCTGCAAACACTTGGAAGGTGATAAAGTGATAGGGAATAGCCAGCATGGATTTGTAAAGAACAAATCATGTCAAACCAATCTGATAGCTTTATTTGATATGATAACAAGTCTTGTGGATAAGGGAGAAGCTGTGGATGTGGTATACCTAGACTATAGTAAGGCATTTGATACGGTCTCGCATGATATTCTTATCGATAAACTAGGCAAATACAATTTAGTTGGGGCTACTATAAGGTGGGTGCATAACTGGCTGGATAACCGTACTCAGAGAGTTGTTATTAATGGTTCCCAATCCTGCTGGAAAGGCATAACAAGTGGGGTTCCGCAGGGGTCTGTTTTGGGACCGGCTCTGTTCAATATCATTAACGACGTAGATATTGGCATAGAAAGTACGCTTATTAAGTTTGCAGATGATACCAAACTGGGAGGGATTGCAACTGCTTTGGAGGACAGGGTCATAATTCAAAATGATCTGGACAAATTGGAGAAATGGTCTGAG